TGGGCCTGGGTGCTGTCCCTCAGCTCTTCAGCTCAAGGCTAGCACTCTACCACTTGAGCCACAGCACCACTTCCAGTTTTTTTTCTTTTTTGCTTATGTGGTGCTGAGGAATCGAACCCAGGGTCTCATGCATGCAAGGCAAGCGCTCTACCACTGAGCCACCTTCCCAGCCCAATAGAGCATTTTTGAAACTCTCTTCTTGATTATTCATTAACTGCTCTGTTGCCTGATTATCATGAGCAGGAGTGGAGATACCTGGACTTGCCATTTTTCTTATGTTTCTTTGCCTTGTTCTGCCAATTTGGGTATGAAAGAAAAATGACTTCTGCAATAGAACACTATTTTAAGGCAAGTATCAACCAGAATCCTGTAGTTGCACATATTGTTTGACCCAGTCGAAATGAATATAGATACAATCTAGTTCAACAAAACACAACTAGGGATCAGTGGACTAAGAAAATCAAAGAAGGAGTCAGAAGGTCAGAAATTAATAGGTTTAGGAGAATTGTGAGGTGAAAATAAGATTAGAGAAATGTGGGAAGGGAAGGGAGAGTGGGAGTATAACCAAGACCTAAATTCAGAGAGAGGAAAAGGATAGAAGGAAAGAAGAGAAATAAAGAAAAAGGGAAAATGAAAAATAGAAAAATTAAACACTTAAAATTATATAAGTATAAAGAAATAATACTACAATTAAAGGAGTTAAGGCTGGAAGTTTGTGAATTAAGTAATCAATATCTGAATAACGTTTGCACACAATGAAGGATAAGGTCTAATAATTGAAGACAGGTATATTTCTGGGGATGAACAGAATAGCAATTAAGTAAAGCAAAAAAACTAAAAGAACCAAAAGAGTAAAAAGAGGGAAAAAACAAAACCTAAGATAAAAATATGAAACAAGTAGAAAACATTTTTTAAAAACTTAAAAATTAGGTAGAAAAAAAAGAGTTCTTCGATTTTGGCGGGGGGGGGGGTAGTAGGGGAATCTTGTGTCTCTCCTGTGTCTGTAACCAGTCTCTTAGTGGTGTCTCTGGTTTGTTTGTGGTGTTTGGTTTTCCTGTGGCTTGACTGGTTTCTTAAATCAGTTTGTTTGAGCAGGCAGAAGGAAGCTCTGCCTTACAGGGACTACTTTATAGCCCTCCTCCCAGACTAGTTTAGTGGGAAGGTGATATGCTTTGAGTATAATAAAAGAGGGACATGGCTGTTTCCTCTAGCCTGGAGTTGCTGTGATGGGTCTAGATTGTGGGTAGGTTTTAGGCCTGTCAGCAATCAGTAACTTTTCCCTGAAGGGCGAGCTCCTGAGATACTCACACAGCCCAGCCTGGAGCCATTCTCAGGATTTATGTTTACCAAGTTTTCATTTTTTTTTCTTTTACCCTCCTTCAGCTGGGTCTGCTGCATGTACTGCAGTGGGGGTGGGACAGCCGCTGGCTGTTTATCTGATGAAGAAGGTTACTCCTCCATGGGCAGAGCTATCTCTGCCTAGGAAGGGCAAGTTCCTTTGACCTGTTGAATTGCTCCTATTGTCTTCTTCCAAGGCCTTAGTTGAGGCTAGCTGAGATGGCCGGTCTTTGCCAGTATCAAAGATGGTGGTAGGGAGGGGCTACTTTCCCACTGCTGCTCCATGAAAAGGAGTGAGGATGTCTTGTGTGGTATTCATTTCATGCCTTTCCCTTGGTTTCTGGGCCATCCACAGTGTGTGACTGTCTGTGGTCAGCAAGATGACAATTTCCCCTTCTTGTCAGTTCTTGCTGGCGGTGAGTAGAATCCACTCCCACACTGTTTTGGTGCCTTTTCCCCTTGTTCTCTCTTTTGATATGGTAGCTGCAGCAGCAGCTGCCACTGCCACCGCCATGGACACTGGCCAGTGCCCAAATGTGTCTCCTTAAGGAAACTGCCTGAATTTTTTCCTTTCTGGCCAAACTCTCTTTACTATGATGGCTCACTTTGTGTGAATCTCTAGCCTTGGACTTTTCACTGGAACACTAAAACTGGTTTCTACCTGAGAGCTTCTTCAGCCCCCAGGTTCTCCACCATCTTCCTCCAGACTCCCCCTATTTCTCTGCGACAGAGTTTCCTGTCTTGCTAGACTGGCCTCAAGCTCATGACTTTAAGAGAACTTCCTGCCTCAAACTCCATGTAGCTGGGATTGTAGGCACATATCACTA